TCTCTTGACTTCCTGTGTGGCAAAACATCAGCAGGACAGTGAGTGAGGGGAAATATATTTAACCCTTACCCTGCCACCCCCGATGTCTCCTTAAAGGAACAGGTCACGTGCACTATGCTATTCCATATGGGGCACATGAGACTCCTTATGATGGCAATTAGTGATTCGCCTGGGCTTGATTCGCCTGATTTTGGTCAAGTACACTCAAAACTTTGACCAACCCTCCTGGCCCAAACAGGAAACAGTTGCAGCGAAGGCATTCCCGGCCCATTAGTGATGTACAACTGCGGGACAGCAAAACCACATGGCTGGGAGGGGGCTGGCAGTCAGTTTTAAACTGGATTGAGTGAGCTCAGGCAAACTGGATTCATACTAGGCCCAGCCTCATCACTAATAGCAATACAGTTCAGTTGAAATGTAAAAAAAAATAAAATAAAATACACCCTTAAGGATTTTAAAAGGCCTCCCAAATTGAAACATACACTTCAAGTGTGCACACACAGAAAGAATGGTTGTCATACATATGAGGCATCACCACACACACCAAAGTGAGAGCAGCAATATTCTAAGGCATTCGTTCACGTGTGCACTGCTTTATTCTCACACAACTCAACAAGAAAGCAAAGTCTTTAACCCCTTCATGACTGAGGCCTTTTTTTCATTTTTTGCACCCATGTTATATTCCACATTTTAGGCCTGAAAATTACTTAAAACCCCCAAACATTATATATTTTCTGAATGCCAAGACCCTATACAATATAATGGTGGTAGTTGCAAATTTTTATGTTGCGCAATATTAGCGCAACTCCTTATTAAACCCCAAAATTTAGTGATAAATTTAATTAAATGCCCCAAAACACAACAAAATACCATTTTTTTTAATGAAATATAAAAGATGAGGTTACAACGAGTAAAACGATACCAAACATGCCCAGTTTACAAATTGCCTGCTTCCGTGAAACGGCGAAAAACTGCAGTACCCCAAAAAAGTCCACAGAAGACGCTTTAAAAGCCCCCACAGGTCATCAATTTAGAGATACCCCAAAATACTGGCCCTAGAATTATTGCAGGCAAATTAAAGCTTTATATGCCAATCAATGAAGCGTATAAGTCTGCTGGCCCTGTACATAACCACCAACCTCACCCTCCCTTATAAGACCCCATTCACACTGAGCAGTGGCGGAGCTAAAGAACAAAGGGCCCGGGTGCAAGATTTTTTTTGCCTCCCCCCCCCAAAAAAAAAACCCCCACAAACACAGCGCTCTCCTCCCGCAGCGCTCGGCCGGCTGTCACTTTCTCTCCTCCCCCCTGGGACACAGAGCAGCGCCCAGCGGGGAGGAAAGAAAGCACGGATGCGCCGCTGTATCAGCAGAAAAATGG